CTATATGGAATCTGAGCAGACATAGAAATTGTGTTGGGTATTGAATAAGTTGAAATAGTTATTTATTGTTAATTCTCTGTTTTATGGTTGCCATTATGTTTTGTGAAACTAATATAGCAGCAATATGTTAAATAGGATTTTCTAACTTGTAGGAGAAAATAGGTTGATGTCCTATTTTATGTTGGGACATGTTGAGTTGAAGTGTTTCAACATCTAGAGCAACATATCGGATAAGATATCTTATGTAGGGTCATACGACATCGCGTCTGAGCTAAGCTGAACAATTGGATTTTGTTATGATTTAACAGATGCAGAATATTCTGAGAATATTATGCAATATTTTATGGCACTGATTTGTAGGTCAAGAAGAATCAATAATAATATTGAAGAATATTGACTTTCTAAATATGGAGATAATTTAGGAACGATTTGATTGAAGACCTATTTTGTAGCAGAATTTTCTGCAAATTTGTAACAGTCAAAGAGTTGTCATTTGAAGGTCCAAATCCAGTTGAATATAGGTTATAAATAGAAGCATTGTAACCTAGGATTGGTACCAGCCGAGAATTAGAAAGATGTAATCATTAAGGCTGAGTCTGTAAGCCACTCTTTAGGAGAGTTAGTATGTGTGATTCACTCGATATGTGAGTTGGATTATGTTCCTTGGATTTCAAGGTTCTGTTCTCACTCAGAAACCTGTAGGTAATGAGTTGAGTATTGTTCTTGTAGGAAGCTTGTAAGAAACTCCAAGTTGTGTTCTTAGTCAAGAGTCTTGGCTATGTATTATCATGGAAGTGTGTCTTCTGGTTGTTAAGTCATGGAAGTGTGTCTTCCTATGTTTGTCCAATCGCTGACTGTGATTGATGGGGGATTAAGGAGGGCCTCATATCTAGGTGAGTCTTAGATATAAAGTTAGCACGAGTAGTGATTAAGTGAGAAGTTGTAAACTTGGGACTAGTTTAGCTTCGAATTGATACTATTATAGTGGACTTTATCCCTGGCTTGGTAGCCCCCAGAATAGGAAGGTTGTTCCGAATTGGGTTAACAATTCTTGTGTGTTGTCTATGCTTTTTCAGTATTGTTTTTAATGTTTATACCTTGTCTGTGTTGTTTAAGTCAGATCAGATGTCCCAATATGTCATAGGACATCTGAGTTCTGTCATACCAGAATTTCATTTACTAAGCAAGGGTTATGGCCACAATTTGTTTTGACTGATATAGATATTGTTGTGATGAAAGAAATTAAAACTGTGTTTCTAAGGATAATTAATTTGCTTTATTGATTTCACGTCAACAAAAATGTGAAATCAAAGTGCAAGGAATATGTTGTGAATGATATGAGAGAGACGATAGAGAAATTATGTTACGAACTTGTAAGGGCTAATGATAAGGTGGAGTACCATCCACAGTTGCAACAACTTGAGTACGCATGTGTTGGTTTTAGAGAATTGTTTGATTATGTGAAAGACTCATAGTTGACTGCTCATAGACATAGGTTTGTTGGAGCATGGATCAATCAAGTGTTGTATTTGGGAAACACCGCGACTAATAGGTATGTTTGATTTTAGCCATGGTTTGTTTATCTTAAGATTATGGATATTGATTTGTTTTTTTTGGTCGAGTTCGCGCATTGGAAACTAAGGCATATGTTGGAGAACAACTTAGGTGATATGTGCAAATGTTGGGAGGCTATGAATGGAAATCTGAAGATACAATTGGGCAATATTAGAGCTTCATTTCAGAAGAGTTTTTATTAAGTTGAGCACGCGCACACTAGTCCATTTTATGGAAATTTGCATGGTTTGGTATCAAGAGCTGCTTTGAGGCACGTTGCTGAAGAGTGGTTGAAGATTGAAATTGTGGGTACAAACACCCAAATGTGCGGGTGTACACATAGAAAATATTATGGGTTATATTGTGCTTGTGAGTTAGGGAGATACATACTGAGTAGTGATCTGATACCAATTGATGTTATTCATATCCATTGGAGCAAGCTAAGCATGGAAGGTGAACAAGAGGCAGATGCAGAGGATGGATCTGAGATGGACATGACCAATGCAATATATGCCATGTGGAAAAGGTACAGGTCACTAGATATTGCAGGAAAAAGAGCACTAAAAAGTAGGGTGTGTGAAATTTCTTACCCTACTACAACAAGGATCTGTCCACCGCCTGAAAAAATAAATACCAAAGGTGGGGTGAAGAAAGGGAAGAAACATGTGGGATATGATGTTTATCGTGACCCCTCATATCATGAGTATGTTGATCAAGAAAGCTCGGGTTCTCAAAAATATTCAAATAGGTCATGTTCGCATTTACCCCAAACCTCGAAGAAGCAAGTAACACTATAAATAACGATGAAGCTCATGTGAAATAAATGATAACCTCGGATCTGACGGTCCTTCGTCAGAGACAAGAACCGAAACTTCTCCCACCTTCTCTAGACGTGGTGATATCAAACGAGGATATAACACCCTATAATACCAAGCCACGTAATCATCGACCACATCATATGGGGTGGTAGCGAAAACTATTAGACAGATCACATCCATCACGCTCGCATGATATTCAATGCATTCAACATCCACATCAAATGTGTCAGAATCAGGAAGTGGGCGCAATATGTATTGCTTATAACCAAATTAACGCATACACATGTCAGGTAAGTTTACTACAATTGTGTCATACCATTTCAAGCCACCCCTGTACAAACATATATCATCAAATGAACGGTGCACTCTATGATCCTCAAAAGGGCGCCAAATGACATCAGCAAGTGTCAATTCATCCAACACAGACCTAAGCTAATCAACCTTTTATGCTCATTGCCTGTAAATCCATTTCATCGCCCTGAGAAGTGGACTACCGCCACCAGTAATCACAAATAATCCTCTCTTTCCAACAATTGGAAAATACTCATGAATCCAACATTGTTACACAACATGAATATTATCAATTAAAATAATCATATATAAATAAAGATAAGTTAAAATAAAATTAAAATTAAACATTTGTACCAATAGCAAAGAGGCATATCCGCTGAACTGCTTGCATGTATAGTAGGAAGCATCTCCTAAATATCTGTAGAGCGTGACAAGTGCAGCTGCCCCTAGCTATATCGACCACATCCTTCCAAGTCCCTAAATAGTGATAAATATTTTGCCTCTACACGAGTAAAAATTTTGTCGACAAAAATGGTGCAACCTACCAACAACAGTATACAGGCTCTAGCAGCACAGTCAAATCTACTATCAGCTCACTGACGCACAAATACCTCTTTCAACCAATCCAGCTTATAATAAGCACCCCTACAATTACGGACCTCTTCAACTGCCTCCTCCAAGAGAACACCCAACAGATTAATAGCAAGATTAATAGCATCGGCATCAGCGAAACCTTATCCAGGGTCCCAAAACTTACCCTTACACGATAAATGAATAAGACAAGAAACATCGTCCAATGTAATGGTCATCTCGCCAAATGTCATATAAAAGGACGATGTTTCTGGGTGTCATCTCTCTACAAATGTCGATACTAAATTTTAATCTATCCTCGACAAAATGGTTCTCTAGAGAGAGGATAGATCATAGTTAGAAAACCAACTCTTTATCAGTGGTGGGAGACTGTGTGGAACTCATCCTATCAATTTTCTTCCATGTGCATCAATATTTAATACTTTCTTCGGATGTCTCTCATAAAAACAATTTATAGTATATGTTATAAAATATAAATAATTAAAAATAAAAATGATTCAACATAAAACAATAGAGATTAACTTACCTCGTCGTACCATAAATGGTGAGCAACATGATTCTGGTACCTCACCAGAAGAGATGTATCGTAAGGTCTCTCGGAGAACTGTGATTGTCCTGGACCAGGCTCAGGTGCAACTATCTGAGATTCCTATCCATCCATCGCTTGTCGAGGTTGTCGTCTTTCACTTCTCCGTCGCATAATATCCATGTTCCAGCCTCTCCTGCACATTATTAAAAATAACAAAAAATGAGAACCAAATAACCTTAGGGAAAGTTCTTCGGATTAAAAAAATTAAGAATCAGATAACACGATTCCAAGTTATCCGGCTAGCAACAATGTAAACCGAATAACCTCGTGTCAAGTTATTCAGTATGTAAAAAAGTTCCATATAAAAACCGAAAAACTTGTACGTCATCCGGTCTGTAAAAAACTTTAGAACGCCGATTAGTTGAAATTTTGAGTCGGATTTTTTTATTTCTTATTCTTGAGTTGGTTGCTGAAAAAATGCTCTCGCTTTCTTCAAATGAAATAGGAAAAAAATGAATTTTTTTTTAAAGTCTAGTGTTTATACATAGGTATTTTGATCCAAACTCATAATTTGTAGGGGTGGATGATAAACATGGGGGTATGGGGTATAATTTTCATAACATCATCACCCCTTCAATAATGATTTTCTTTTGAAAACCAAATTAAACTGTTGCTTCCAATTCGTTTCTACACATTATAATTATTTGAAACTATTTGGACGAAAGGTTTAGCTAAAAAAGATTATTTTGTTTGGATATATTGTTCTTTTCATTTTTTCCTCCAAAGGTCATTCAAACACATACAGAAATTACACTATAAATGAACTTATTGCATAGCCAAATATCATTTGAATGTAGGGAAATTTTACAACCAATGAGATAATCTTAAATTTGTAGCAGCAGTGGGTGTGAATAGAACCGCTCATGTTCAACCCTCTATATCCCAACGCACATAATGAAAAAACGAAATCATCAGATTTAGGATGGAATATTTATTTCTAAAAGCTTTCTTCAATCAAGGTTAGTGGAGGCTAGCATTTTACAAACAAAACTTGGTTGAAAGCTATATTTGTGACATTAACACGTAGTTGACAAGTACGCAACATCCAAGCCACGAGGAATCATAAATAAGTTTTACATCTTGACTCAGGTGTGACTAGTAACTAATGTCATTGCCCTCATTCCTCTAATGCCATAGGTCATCATCATCACCTTGTTCTAATGCCATAGGTCATCATCATCACCTTGTTCGCCTTTCTCAGATGGCTCACCTTGTTCGCCTTTCTCAGATGGCTCACCTTGATCGCCTTTCTCAGATGGTTCACCTTGTTTGCCTTTTTCAGATTGCTCACCTTGATCGCCTTTTTCAGATGGTTCACCTTGATCGCCTTTTTCAGATGGCTCACCTTTTTCGCCTTTTTCAGATGGCTCACCTTTATCGCCTTTTTCAGATGGCTCACCTTTATCAGACAGCTCACCTTCCAACTTTCTTTTCTTTCCCTTCTCATCTCCCTTTCCCTTTGACACCCTTGCTTTCTTCCCAGCATTCTTCTTCCTAAACTCTGATAAGCAATAAAGAAAGTGTTAAGGTCTGCCAAATTCCGCAGACACAACAAATGAATCCTTACATATGCCAAGTTAGCACAGACATTAGTCAAATCCAAACAATTACACATATTGTTTCTTATTATATGCATGAATGATATGACATTCATTTCTTTTAAAATGAAAAAAAAAAGTAGTGTCGCATGTGATTCCAAAACATACTCCAAGAAATCGTCCCAGCCCTCTTTGTAGAAATGAACCAAATATTACTCACTAGCTGATCACGCTTGTTAGTGCAGCATAGCACTTCCCCATGCTCAGAGTTGGTGGACAATGTACACAACACAGCATAGAACAAGCTCAGTTTTAGGCTTTTAGCTAAGGAATACAAACTTCAGAGTAACCATCTGACCTAGGTTAAACACTTCATGGACACTTTGTATACTCGTAATTATCAACAACCATCCAACCCTTTCCCCGCCAAGAAGGGATTAGTTCAAATTACACACATTATTTCCTAATTACTAACATTCAACACAATTATAGACAACCCTTTTTCCATTAAATGAGGATTAGTCCTAATCATACTTTACAATTTATTCGAACTTCTATTGCAGAGAAAATAAGATTAACATAATAACTAAATAAATGATAACCTCTGTAACACCGACAATTCTGAAAAACAATTCTGAAAAAAGGTCTTACACCAACACTTATAATTAAGTTTAATTTATTCATTTTTCCAAATTATTACAGGTGTCGTGGTCTCACTAACAATGTCATGTCTAGGGTGCCTTTGTTTCATAGATGATAAACTGATCATAGCTTCACTTCACTGAAAGTTAACAAACTAATACTCATAGAAAACTAAAATATAAATCTCAACTAGTCTAAAAACATAGCCATAACATATCATAGGTAAGTGAAAGTGACCTTCAAGAGAATCTTTTAGAGGGTTAACAAATTCAGTAAACTCAGTTTCTTCAAGAGCTTTGAGAACATCTTCAGCATTGATAATTTGCCTCTTTGACTCCTTACATATATCATTAGCCCTGCACATACAAACAACACCCATCATTGTTCATCTTCTCCAATCTCACAAAGTTCCCATTTTTAAAATCACCCACGAATCAATTACCAAAACCCATTGCAAAATTTCCCCAATTTGCCTCCAAAATGATTCAGCAAATTAGGGTTTCAGAGAGAAGGAGAAAAAGGTTACTTACGTAGCGGAAAGGTAGTGGATGAAGATTTTGGCACTTTCGGAGAATGCGAGAAGAGCGTCTTTGTGGACGGCAATGTCTCCGTCGTCGGAGCAAGTGGATAGCTTTTCCTTCACCACGCGGCGTACGATAGTTTTGGGAAGCTCCTCCGCCTCTGCCATTTCAACTTCTCTTGTTCGTTTTCTAATTGGGATTGGAATTAGGGTTAGAAGTTGGGTCTCGTGGCCAATAACTAGGCTTCATTTCCCGCCATATCATCACTTTCGCTTCATAATATAAATATGGAAAATTTCCATCTCTTGTCAAAGAAAAAAAAAATACAAACTTGTAGTATATATTTTTCTAAATGAGTACAACAAACATATAATAATAATGTTATAATAATAATAATAATAATTATTATTATTATTATTATTATTATTATTATTGTTGTTGGTATTTAGATTTAATATATTTTTCTGTCTCGTATATTTAGGGTGAGGTTCATATTCATTCCTAAATTTTAAAAATTAATAGTTTGGCCTCTTAATTTTTTTTACTAATTATTTCAAATTTATCCTTCTGAACCATTAGCTTAACGTTAACATGATTGTCACGAAAGATCACACGTTATAAACCTTAGAAGCTCACTCAAAATCCTTAGAATCAGAACAAAGTAAAAGTATGAATTCTTCAAATTCGTATTTGTTTCCAAAAGATTTCAATATTGGTGGAGAATAGAGTAATGTTTTTGAATCTAAGGGTTATTCATGTTCTTCTCGAAAGAAGTAATGAGGTCTAAGATGTTTATGTGGAAACTTTGTTGTACTTAGAAAAGCAATGTTAATTAAGAATTTTAGGAAGCAATTTTGAGGATGCCCACATTATAAGGTATGATTTGTCTTCTAATCTTTCAATTTTAATTTGGTAGTGTTTTTTATGTCCACGCTTATTTTTTTATGTGTAACATTATTTGTAAATTCATGCAGTTGTATATTAAAAATGGATGTTGTGATATGGTGACAGAACCGACTGTTAATATTGGTTTTTGCATTTGTATTCACAAATATTACGATAAACAAGAGTCGCCACCGACTTTTCTTTTATCCAAATTAAGGAAAGGGTGAAAAGAACAAAAAAAGACCTTTTCGAGATTTTTCTGAGTAAGGGGGTAGATTATGGAAAGGGAAGGTGTTAGCACTCTTTCCATCCGTAGTTTTCTACGGGCTCTTAGATGCTAGCTCATGTTTTGAAAATTGCTTGCGCTTTGTGCTTTAAAAAAAATGTTTTGAAATGCCTTAGTGCGGCGATTCGCTTTGTGATAACTCTTGTATCAGTCCTCAAGAGTGTTGACAAAGCGAATATTTTTGAAAGTGTTTTTGAAATCTGTAAGTGTAAAAAATTTGTTTTATTTGAGCAAGCATCTAACAGCTATCTACTTGTACTCGAAAAGGTAGTTCTTTTCCTTCTGTCCTTTAGACAGTGTTATCTTACTATTAGTGAGTAGGTAGCTCTATCGTTGGATGTTTGAGGGACATTCGAAGGGACGTTACGGTCACGAAGGCAACTTAATAAGGAATTTTAGTAACTGTCCTAAAGTTTTAAGATCACTTTTAACGGAGGTAACATCGAGAGGGTCATCGAGGGACTTATGATCTTTCAAACTAGAGGACAACCACTAAAACTTCTCGCATTTCGAGAATTGTGACCGTTTTCCGAAGGCAACCGAAGTGGGGTACCCTAGAGGTGTGTATGTGCATGGTGTGTTATGTTCAGTTATTTTAGTCTTGCACATTTAGATTTGCTAGCGTTTTAATTTTCAGTTTTTCCATGCAATCCTAATTACTGGCAGTGGTATATGCAGTAATTTAAAGTGCAGAAATATAAAGTGCGAGAATGTAAATCATACGCTATTACAATGTTTTGGGGAGGGGGTATTTACATGTTCAAATGGGGAAAGAATAAAGAGAGCGATGAAATCTTATTTTAATCTATTACATACTGTCAGCAGATACATTATTATAAAAAATGCGAAAGTAAAATAATGCGCGCGAAATAAATAAACGTCTAAGAAGTCCTAAGAATTAAGCTAAGTAAACCTAAAGAAATTTTTTTTTTTGTTTTTGATTTTTGATTTAAGAAAATAATGAAAATTGCCCTAAAATCTATTTAGAAAATAAAGTTAATTTAAGAAAATAGTCTAAGTTTATTGTTTTTTTGTTATAAAAAGAAAATAATTTAAACATTTAAATTAAACATAATTCTATTTTATTTTAGATTAAGAAAAGGTTAAAGTTTAATTAATTAATCAATTAAAGAAAAAAAATTAGTCCTAAGTTTTTTTGTGATTTTTTTAGTATTTGATTAGTTAAGTAAACAATAAAAAAAAAGCAAATAAAAAAAAGAGTCAAAACAAAAAAAAAAATTAAAATGGGCCGAGGTGGTTAAAGCAAAAATGGGGGTGTTGTTTGGGTATTTGCTTGGCCCAAATGAATGTTGAGCCCATGCCACGCTGGATCAGGTGAGGTGAGGCCTTGAGGGTGCATGATAGATTCCATATGGAAGCCCCTTGGATCCAGCTCAGTGATGATCTGATGACTAGATCTGATGGTGTATTATGTGTAATTGGCCTTGAGGAGCATTGAATATGCACACAATTCATTAGAAAAGATAAAAATGATGGACCTGAGATTCGAACTCAGACCCTCTCCTTCACACATGCGTGTCTTTACCAATTGAGCTGCTTTACAATTCGCGTGTTATAACCAAAGCATTACATTATATGTGAAATAAAGTCAAATATATTCAAAAAATAAAAACGCACGCGTTGGCCTCTGTGAGCCAATGGGAGGACGACAACCAAGTTGCCGGAGTTAGCGACCGGAGTCATACCTCTGATCACCTTCTCCGGCCAATCCAAAGCTCGTTTCCTGAAAAATACACAATTTAAAACAAAACCAAGGGTCCTATCCTATGTAAAATCATATTCTGGTTCTGAATCTGGCCTTAGATTGGCCTAAAAGTAACTGTATCGCCCGGATCGAAGCTCAACAGCTTCAAGATCCTAACAATGGAAAGTTGGCTTTTAAGCCTCAAAACACACATGCCTTACGTAAAATCTATCCTATGAGTCATCCTGAGTACGAATCAAACATTAAAAGACATTAATATATCATGAAACTAGAGATATGAATTTGAAAATTTTACCAAAAATGGTGGTTCTGGTTTGGCACTTCTGGGCGTGTGATAGTTTGAATAAGGGCTGGGAATGAATCCTGGGAATCTCAGGATGTTGATGGAACATTTGAGTCAGATTGAAATAGACTGGAATTGGGTTTTTGGATTTTTACAACTTTGCTATTTTTTGTAATTTTGCGTGGCTCTTTTAGGAAATGGTATCCGTCCATGAGGATTGCAAATGTCACCCTTATATAGAGCAGATTGAGGGGACAAGGTAGGAGGGAAATAAGCATGTTCAATAATGTTCTTTAAGAGCCATAAACAAATATTTGTAACTTTGCCAAAGGTATGGAATTCTTGTCTCTTTTTTTGAATTTGAATGAATGTGGATATCAATGGCTTTCGAATTCCTTCAGTCCCTACCCTTCTATTAGACCTCTTGTACATCCTTCAAATGGGTCTTTTGGATGTCTTTCAAATAGTCCCTATATATGCCTTGTGCCCTCTTCGAATGGGCCACCAAGGTGTGTCCTTCGAATGGCCCAAGTCTCATCATTTGGGTCTCTTCGATTGAGCCCTTACTCAGCTAGCTGCTTGATTCAAGCAACTCAAACGAAAACCTCAATCTGGCCAATCGAAAACCTTCTTTGTCACCACCTTCGAGTGCCATTGCACAAAAGGCCTGGGCCTGGCCACATGCAATACCCATCACAAAGCAAACTTATTTTTCAATAATCACGTGTCCTTCGAATGGGCCAATGGATGTTTCTTCGAAGGGACCACATGAATGCACCTTCGAAGGGACTATCATGTGTGTTGAAGTGTGTACAACTGTTTCAAAGGGGACCATTGCCCAGTCGAAGCTGGCGCAAAGGCAGCCTGTGCCTTGTGGGTCGAAGGAAGCTTTTGCCTTGTGGATCGAAGGCAAATCTGAAGGAGTCTTGGCCTTGTGTGCTGAAGGCAAGCTGAAGATAGGGCCTTTTGACTTGTGAATTGAAGACTAGTGAAAGGGGCCTTTTTCCTTGTGAATCGAAGACCAGTGAAAGGGGCCTTTTGCCTTATGAATCGAAGACCAGTGAAACGGGCCTTTTGCCTAATAGACCAAAAACAAGCATGAATAGGCATACGTGTGCTGATGACAAGCTGAAGGGGCCTTTTTCCCAGTGGGAGCTTTGTGAACTAGGCTTGATCGAAGGATACTAAATGCCTAATCGAAGCTGGTATGCAGGAGTTCATTGCTTTGTAGGGGATTCTTGATTTGTGTGCTGAAGGCACGCACATAGGGAGTATTTTCCTAGTCAAAGCAGGAATCAAGCTTGCTCCAAAGAAATCAAATGCCCAATCAAAGCAGGAATCAAGCTTGCTCCAAAGAAATCAAAAGCCCAATCGAAGCAGGAATCAAGCTTGCATGCAGGTAGTCATCAAGACAAACTTGCAGAGGCCCTTGCTCAATCGAAGTAGGCATGCATGTAACCGTTGCATTGTGAATCAAGCAAGCATGTAAAGCCAATGGTGCAATCGAAGGATGTATGCAGGAGGTTCTTTCCTTGTGCCTGCTGGTATGAAGGAAGTTCATGGCTTGTGAATTGAAGGCAAGCTTAGAGAAGGAACTTGTCTTCTAAATTGAAGGAAAGTTGTAAGAGGCCATTACCAACACCTTTTGAATCGAAAGAAACCAGTAGGAAGCCACTAATTTCTGAATCGAAGGACACCAACAGAAGGCCCTTCCCTTTTGAATCGAAGGAGGTTGTTTCAAAGGAAACAAATGCCCAGTCGAAGCTTGTATACAAAAAACAAGCAAAAGGACAAGGATTCAATCGAAACTTGGAAATTTGAAGCAAGCATGAAAGAGGTTAGGTGCTCAATCGAAGCAAATTTTGTGCAGCCTTAACTTAGTGAAAATTTTGTGAGAAAAATATTTGAGAGATGGGAGGGCGAATTTTGGGGTACAACAGCTGCCCCTGTTCAATCTTCTTAAACCTGGAGATTTAGATTGGCTTAT